CGCCCTCGACCTCGTCTGTCTCCTTCATCCACCGGTCAATGAAGGACCGAAGTGTTTCGTCAGGCTATTGCTTGACGGAGAGGAGGTGGGAGAAGTGATTTTTCGCGCGCTTCCTTCCGGCGAAATGGGTGAGGAAGCGTTGGGCAAGATCTTGCCATGAGTCTATGCTCCCCTCGGGCAACGCGTTGAACCATTCGTACGCCGGTCCCTCGAGAGTGGAGAGGAACCAACGACATAAATATTCATCACATGCATTGACCATCAGCATGTTGTTTTGATATCGGCTGAAATGTTCCTGGGGGTCGGTGCGGCCGTCATACGACTTCATAGTGCTTCCCCGGTATTTCTCGGGTATTGGGGCCGAGAGCACCCTGGTGGTGAAGGGGGTCATGGTCCTGACCTGGATGATGGGGTCACCGCGCCCCTCAGCGAATTCCCTCTCCAGAGCACTGAGTTTGTTCATGAGGGTGTCAAAGCCGGGATTCCCCGATGAGTTGGCCGTAGGAGGGGCAGCCAATTGTCTTGCTTCCATCTCAACGAGTCTTCTTTTAAGTTGGGCGATGATTTCCTTCCGAGGGTCCTCGACGGCCATGGCGGCACCCGGGGACTGGTTACGAGCCGCATTGATGCGGTGGCGTGCGTCCTACTCGTGTAGCTTGCCTTTGCCTTTGTCAAGACGGGGCTGATCCGCTGTCCGGGATACGGACCCAAAGCTCTCCCTCGGTGAGATAGGCTCACGTTGACCCATCCATCCCGCCAGCCTCTTTGATGATGGCCGACGGTGCGCATCCCCTAACCTAATGAAGACCGAAGGTCTACGCACTGGGGCTGGTCCAGCTCGGGGAGGGGAAGCAGGATCGGAGCGGGAGGCCGTGTCCTGAGCCCTGACCCCCTCATCGTTGCGTACATTCATGACCAGCGGATGAGGAGGGGGCAGAGAGAAAGGGACGATGTTCCCCTCGACATGGGCAGGGGGCGGTACCATAGTTCTGAAGGCTCCGGGATTCTGGGTGAGCGTGTGGATGAAGGCAGATAGGACCGATTGCATATCGGCAGTGAGGACCGGGGGCTCACCTGAATCTCACCCCAATCTTTCCTTTGGGCCTCGATGCCGAGGCAGGCATCGAGAACGTTCTCTTGGAGCTGAAGGGGCAGGTCTGCAGTGGCCTGGACTATTTCAGCGAGGGCTCCGTCTTCGGGAGCTTTGTTGGAGACCTCGGCAGTGTCAATCCCGAAGGCCTTGTTGGAGGCTTCGGCCTTAGATTGAGCATGAGTCGATCTTCCCATTTTGATGAGTGTTTTTGTTTTTCCGAAGGGGAGGGTTTCTTACTTGATTATTCGACCTCTCAACAAGAGCACCAAATGATGGATAGTGTACCCGGCGGGGGTAGCTTACCCGAGGGGTTATTACGGTGAATAACCTATAGAGAAGTCAGAGCAAGTAAGTAAGAGAGAGAGAGTCAAATGTATTAAATGAACTCGTTATCTTTTACAAGGTGAATAAGGGCTGCTATTTATAGCAGCTATAAATGCGATGAGAGTACACGTGTCAACAATCTAACGGCTGAGGGGTCACCTCAATCGGGGTGGCACCGACATATGCATGTGCACCGCATTAAATGCGGTGGGTGGATGTGACGTCGTATTAAATGTGGTGGCTGGCTGTCTCTAAAAGGAATCTTTGTCAATAGTTCTGTTGCCGAAGGCATCGTGTGGCCGAAGGTATCATGTGACCGAAGGCTTCATGTGGCCGAAGGCATCGGGGGGCCGAAGGCATCGGGTGGCCGAAGGCATCGGGTGGGTGAAGGCATTGTGTGGCCGAAGGCATCGGGTGGCCGAAGGCTAACATTTTAGCTAGGATTTTCCAGAAGCTTTGCAGGACCATATTGAGACGTCTCCTAGAATTTGGAGCCCTCGGCCATAGGGCAAAAGGCATCCACGTGTGCAGCGTGGGCTTTTTCATGCTTGGGCCGCTACGTTTGGGCTTTGTGTGCTCATCAGGCTTGATGGGCCTGTGTAGAAGAAGCAGAAGTTTGTGGGTCGGTGTAATACCCGAGATTAATTTAAGAGGATTAATAGTACTACTCATACCAACAAGATGCATCTCCTTTTAAGGGAGCTCATCACCAAGAACTCCAAAGTTAAGCGTGCTTGCACGGGAGTAGTCTTGGGATGGGTGACCCCCTGGGAAGTTTCTCAGGGTGCGCACGAGTGAGGACAAAGTGCGCGGAAAAGGCTAGTGGAGGTTTGTGAGGACAGTACTAGAGGTCAGAAGTAACTACCTCGGGGCCTACGGGGCCGGGGTGTTACAAATGGTATCAGAGCAACCCTGCGACAGTGTGATGATCCGTTGGATATCGGACGGGCACTTAGCAGGGGAAAAGATTCTGGGATATGATTGAGATTGATTTATGGGCGCAACGAGGACGTTGCGTTCCTAAGTGGGGGTGATTGTAATACCCGAGATTAATTTAAGAGGATTAATAGTACTACTCATACCAACAAGATGCATCTCCTTTTAAGGGAGCTCATCACCAAGAACTCCAAAGTTAAGCGTGCTTGCACGGGAGTAGTCTTGGGATGGGTGACCCCCTGGGAAGTTTCTCAGGGTGCGCACGAGTGAGGACAAAGTGCGCGGAAAAGGCTAGTGGAGGTTTGTGAGGACAGTACTAGAGGTCAAAAGTAACTACCTTGGGGCCTACGGGGCCGGGGTGTTACAGTCGGGGTGTCCCGGGCCATATACTCCATCACTAGTGATGGTGCCTTGTTAGCCAGATTCGAGGTGAGACCCACATTACTTGATTAGATCAAGAAGGGTCAAGAAACTAGCGAAGAGCTTATGAAGGTCCGTGAACGCATGCTAGCAGGACCGGTTGTGGATTTCAGGGAAAGAGACGATGGTCTCTTATTATTTCGTGACCGAGTATGTGTACCGTCGGATGATGAGCTCCGAAAGTCCATCTTAGAGGAGACCCATTCATCGGTGTATGCCATGCACCCAGGATGTACGAAGATGTACCGTGATTTGAAAGAAAGTTACTGGTGGTCAGGTATGAAGAGGGAAATAGCCGAGTACATCAGTAGATTTCTTACTTGTCAGCAAGTTAAGGCAGAACATCAGCATCCAGCTGGGTTACTACAGCCACTTTCCATTCCCGAATGGAAATGGGAGCACGTGACTATGGATTTCGTGGTGGGGCTACCACGGACGGTTAAGAACTATGATGTCGTATGGGTCGTGGTTGATAGGCTCATGAAGAGTGCGCATCCAATAACCATTGTATTCGATAGAGATCCACAATTCACATCACGATTTTGGCCGAAGTTCCAAGAATCTATGGGAACCGGATTGAAGTTTAGCACTGCTTTTCATCCACAGACGGATGGGCAATCTGAGCGGGTCATACAGATATTAGAAGATATGTTGAGAGCTTGTGTATTGGAGTTCCAAGGAAGTTGGGACAACCATTTAGCACTTGTGGAGTTTGCCTATAACAGCAGTTATCAGGCGAGTATTGGTATGCCTCCATACGAGGCATTGTATGGCAGGAGATGTCATACACCTTTGTTTTGGGATGAAGTTGGCATGGCCAAACTTGAAAGTACAGAGTTGGTGGAAATCACCAAGGCAAAGGTAAAGACGATTCGTGAGAGGCCTAAGACGGCTCAGGATAGACAGAAGAGCTATGCCGATAAGCACCGAAGAGCCATGGAGTTTAAGGTGGGAGATGAGGTGTTCTTGAAAGTTTCACCTTGGAAGGGAATCATCCGATTTCAGAGCCGGGGAAAACTTAACCCACGATACATAGGGCCATTTGTGATTCTTGAGAGAATTGGAGCCGTAGCATACCGATTACAGTTGACTCCAGAGTTGGAGAAGATACATAATGTGTTCCACGTGTCTATGCTTAAGAAGTACTCCCTCCGTCCCTTAAAACTTTGCCATCTTTCTTTTTTGGGACGTTCCAAAAAACTTTGCCACTTTCTCTTTTAATCAATTATTTTGTGGTTTCTGTAATTTCTCTCTCCTCTGCACAAACCTCAACCACACAGTTTTTACTTTATTATTCTCCGTGCCGGTCAACTTTGGCAAAGTTTTAAGGGACGGAGGTAGTATATGTCGGATCCATCTCATGTATTAGAGAAACCACCCGTGGAAATACGGGAAGACCTGAACTATGCCGTGCAACCCGTAAAGATACTTGATGGGCAAGTAAAGAAGCTAAGAAGCAAGAAAGTTCCAATGGTGAAAATCCTTTGGAAAAGTGACCGAGTTGAAGAAGAAACTTGGGAAACGGAAGCCTTGATGAAGGAACAGTATGCATTTATGTTCAAATAAGCGTTGTGAATTTCGGGGACGAAATTCCCGTTAGGGGGGGGGGGGGTGAACTTGTAACACCGTCCCCAACATATTTTACTTTCCAGTAAATCATGTATTAAACCTAGAAGAATGAGTTATGAATTTGCGAAGTTGTAAATTTTTGTTATTTCTTTTGCGTGAATAGTGAATCGCACGCGGGGCCCGCACCGGGAACGGGAACCACCCGATAATTCCAGAACCACATATTATATTCATCTTGATATAGATATGATGTATATGATGGTGGTTATTTTAGTTGAGCCATAGAAAGGGCATAGAGTTGACCCGTTGGTCAAACGAGGCCCAATTACCGGTATTGGTAATTTATCGGATAACAGCCCGAAATGAATTTCGGAGGCTTCTAAATATAAGTTGGGGAATGTACATCCATTCTAAAGGCCTTTAATGATTTGGAACATGTGTTATATTTTATTTGACCCGATAAAATAAAATATAATTAAAACAGTCCGAAAAATACAACTTTGGGGACCGATTGTACAGATTGGGACACAAAGGGATGACCTCCCATATGAGTGGGGGCCACCCCACGTTTTTGTGTGCTCAAATTAATGTGAGGGGGCTGGTGTTTACTAATGAAATGTGGAGGAGATGCATTTGGCATCAAAAGTACCATGGAGGACCCCCCACCCTCACTCATTTGTCATTTGAGACAAAAGTGAGCATCTCCTCTCCCCTCCAATCACCTTGCTCGACCCAGCCATCCAATAAGTGAGAGAGAAGCTCAAAATATCCTCCTCCATAGCTGCAAATTCGAGCTCAAGCAATAGAGGTCCAAGGAGGAAGATTTAAGAAGGAAAAAGCTAGGGAAAAGTGTGAAGGATTAAGGTAATGACCTTATAATGACTTTTCCTTTACTTTTTATTCTTCATATGACTTATATATCATATTGAGGACCCCTAGGATTGTTCTACATGTTTAGAAATGTAGAATGAGGGGTTGGAAGGTAGTTCTCGGTCCAAGAACGGACTTAGAAGCCATAGTGACCGGTTCGCCGGAAAAAACCTTTTAGGAGTTATTTGTGTTTATATGGGTTTTTGTGATGATAAAACCTTATTAGGAGCTTGAATAAGGCGTTCCTAACTGTTTCCGGAGTTTCGCCGGAGTATCGCCAGAGTTCTCTAGAGTTTCGCCAGAGTTCAACCAAGAAGGGTAGAACTTCTTAAAGCTCATTCGAGGTGAGGATGACCGACTATATTGCTTATAATTAGTGAGTTAATTTCATAAGATTACCTAAAGTGTTAAATGTGATTTTCATGGATTATTAATGATTAATAATGCCTAAATGAAAATGCCATTGCATATGAGTAAATGAAGCATGATATACAAATTTAGAAGAAATTGTGTATGATTGTGTGTTATGAATATGATAGCATGATAATGAAATAAATTGTGAAATACGGTGATAAAATATACTTTTACTTCATGTAAAGAAATCATGAATGGATAAAAGTGATATTTTTTATATTGGGGGTTAAATCATATTTGGAATGGAAAATCAATTGAGATGAACAATATGACTATGAATTAAGAACTTGGTTGTTCTAGGATTATTTGATTAGTAATGAAATACTAGTTGGAATGTTAGTATGAAAAATGATAGAGTAAATCCTAATGGCTTGGATTGTGAAAGATATACCTTATGTAGTTTTTAAAAAATGTTAATAACTTTTGTATTTTTGATCCGATTTTTATAAAATTTATATCAACATTTTTTATTTTTCATGATCTTTCAAATGAGACCAATATTGCCTATGTAATTTTAACATATTAACATTTGCGTGTAAAATATGTAACTTTATGTGTTAAAATATGTAACTCACGTTCAGTCAGACCAAATGAAACTCGTGTGTATAAATATGTATCTCTATGTGTAACAATATGTAACTTTACGTAAAAAAATATGTAACTCGCGTTCAGACATGTCAAATGCAACTCATGTGTATAAATATGTAACTCGCGTGTATAAATATGTAACTTTATGTGTAAAAATATGTAACTTTACGTGTAAATATATGTAAGTCGCGTTCAGGCATGTCAAATGCAACTCATGTGTATATATATGTAACTCGCTTATAAAAAGATGTAACTTGCTTATAAAAAGATGTAACTCGCTTATAAAAAGATGTAACTTGCTTATAAAAAGATGTAACTCGCTCATAAAAAGATGTAACTCAATGTATTATCAAATGTAACTGAGGCCACTGATCCACTCCCAAACAGATTCGATCTTCTATTTCACAAACCTATCATCTCCCAAACAGATTCGATTTTCCTTATAATCCAATACTGATTAATATAATAGTTCGATAATTTCTTAAAATTACATAAGCAATATTGGTCTCATTTGAAAGATCATGAAAAATAAAAAATGTTGATATAAATTTTATAAAAATCGGATCAAAAATAAAAAAGTTATTATCATTTTTTAACAACAAAAGCAAAAAAAAAAAATAGCAGCATGCTGCGTCGTTTTGCAACCGTGCGCACCATCCTCATGGTGAGCCGGTTGCACGGTATAATTTGCCAGTTTTCTTGTCTAGTTCAGAGATGAAATTTGAAAGTGCAAGAGAAATAAAGCAATTGTTGTCTAATTCAGTCAAATCTTAGATTATTTAGTTTTGTCTAGTTTGATATAGGTTATTTTTATCTTGTGAATGTTATTATATTATTTTGTATGTCATCATAATAATTATGTTATATATTTGATCATTTAAAAAAACATTCTTTAGATTGTTAGGTAAATGATTTTAATGATAGAATAACTGTCATATAATTCAAGGATTCACGTATGAAAGTCCAATATAACATCTCAAGTCATCTATCTAGTGGGTTGAGGCCTAGCGCCGAGCAGGGGCGTAGGCGCGTAGCTAGGGGGTGGCCTGCCTAGACCCTGACCAACCCCTAATTAAAAAAAACTTATATTTATAGTGTAAAAAATTCTGTGTAATTTTTTTTTATAAAAATTCTTTATAACGGTTTAGTCCGGCCCAGTGACATATCTCTGCCCCTAGCATCGAGGTCGAGGTCGAGAACTCTTCGTATACTCAGGTCCAACTCTGGATATCGCGCACACTTAGCCGTTTCCAGAACATTCGAGACACATGCATTTCCTAAGCCTACTTCACGTACTGACGTCTTTGGTAACGTCACAAGCTAAGATTGTGAATGGAATAACATCATCAATGACATCACCAATTTGTTTTCGGAGTTGATGACATCCCACATCAGGACGACATCAATAGACGTGTTCCCCAAATATTTTTGTGACACGTGTAGCTTCCTCACTAGCTTACATTATTTCAACAGAATATAATAGCTTATACTACCTCCGTCCCATAATAACTTCCCGTTTCGGATTACGATGCTTGACTGACGATAAAACAACTTGATCCATGTTCGCACTCAGATTATTTTTACTACGTAATAAAATTTACATACATATTCAGAAATTACATTAAAAATTTTACAGTCTGATAAAAAAATGTAAATTTGATAAGAATTGATATATAAAGCAAAAGGTTAAGAGTAATTTAAGTTAATCATGTGAATAGTGAATGAAAAGTTAATTTTAGGACGAAGGTAGTATATTTGTATGCTAAAAAAATTCGAATAGAAAAACATATTCACATTTAAATGTGTATTCTATTTACTCAAATTCATATAATCAATTGAATAACAAATATCCGACTGGTTCCAAGAGCATAGATAGGGGGGGTTCAAGCCACCGTCCACTTCAAATTTAGTTAAATCTGAAACCTTTATGTAATATAAAATAATTGTAGAACTTTTTATTGGTTTATCATCACCGTTTCTCATCTTATTCCATGATTTTCACCGTATAAAATGTTAAGGTTGGATTTTGAGGGTTATTATTAAAAGAAAGAAGGTTAGATTTTGAGGGTTATTAAAAGAAAAAAGGTTGGATTTTGAGGGTTATTATTTATTACAAGAAAAAAGATTGGATTTTAAGGGTATAAATAATACTAGTAAGGATGTTTTTACTTGGACTGTAATTTGCTGGTCTGGTCTGATCTGGTCTGGTCTGGTCTGGCCTGGTCTGGTTTCTTTGTATTTTTATAAATATCCAAGTCTGGTATGGTCTGGTCTCGTTTGAATTGGTCTGGTCTAGTCTGAATTACAATCCAAGTAAAAACATCCTAATACGGCAGTTTATACCGTGGGATCGTTACACCGTGCGCACGGTGTACCGATCCCACTTACGTACTCACTAAGCATGTATCTCTTCATTTTTCTCCTTGCAGTGTCATAACTCTTTATTTTTCTCCTCGCAATTAATTCACATGCTTCCCACTAACTTACAAATGAATTGTTATCCTTCCCAATTCTCACTAATCGTGTTTAATTTTTCAAAAAGAATTTTGCTTTATTTTTCTTTATCTCCATTTTTTCTCTCCTTCTCTACCAAAATTTTAAAAATTTAATTTTAATTTTAATTTTAATTTTCTTTATCTTCACCTTAAATAACAATTCAATCTATGTTTTATTCTTTACCAATTCATAACAAAAAAATATATATTAAAAAAAATTATTAATCTACGTAAAATAAGTATATTGTATTTTGTAATCATAAACGAAGTACTATTTATTTTCTATAATATTTTTTATATTCATACACTTTTTAATATATTTTTTCATATTCAGAAACTTTTCTCCTAAAATATATATTTTGTATTCATACAATTTTTTTCGATTTACATTTGATAAATTATGATATTACATGTATAAATGATTCTTAGAGTTACATTTGAAATTATATAGAGTTACATCTTCTTATACACGAGTTTCATCTCCTTATGCGCGAGTTAATCTTCTTATTCGCGAGTTACGTCTTATTATATGTGAGTTGCATTTTCCTATGTGAGAGTTACATTTGGAGCTTGCCTGAACAAATTACATTTTGCATACACCTAAGTTATATTCTTTATCAACACGAGTTACCTTTTCTATAACACGAGTAACATCACAGCATAAAGTCCTGGTATTGAAACAAAACAATCATTTTTTGCCAAGAAAGACTTTTTTTGGCAAAAAAATGTTTTCTTTGACAAAAAATGATTTTTTTTAATTTTTTATGGTCTTAATAGTGAAAACAGAACATATTCACTGTTTAAATAAACTCCTGCTATTGAAACAATAATAAAACATTTTTTTTTCAAAATATTACGATTGGTTTTTTTGAAAAAAAAATTAAAGAAAAAAAATGTTTATGGCATTAATATTAAAAAACACAACATATCCACGATTTACGTAAAGTAATTGAGTCATTAGACTCATTGTTTTCATTGAGATAAATATTTTATTTCTTATCATTCATATTAGGCAAGTTACATTTCGACTTATTTGCAGTTACATTTCTTATCAACGTGAGTTACATTTTTTACACACGAGTTACATCAATCTGCTGCTGGACAATGAAAAAATTAAAAAAAGAAGTTATTGTTCACCCGCGTGAACAATAACACGCGTTTTTTGTGTGGGAGCAACATGCTCACGGTGCGCTGCTCCCATGGTATACGAACTCTCCTAATACTGTAATATTCAAAAAAACAATACCGTAGTAGTGTAATGTGCCAGTGGACAATCGTTACCGAAATATTGCAATTTATGGCTTAAAGACGTATTGCTGTTAAACTAGACATGTTACAACAAGACGCTTTGGCCGAGTGGTTAAGGCGTGTGCCTGCTAAGTACATGGGGTTTCCCCGCGAGAGTTCGAATCTCTCAGGCGTCGATTTGTTTTTGATAATATCAATTCGAGAGCGTACGTCAATTACGACGGAATTTTTGAGGTGCATTGCTGAAAATGTGTTACTCCGTACTTGATAGTTTATACCTCATTCGTCTCCATTTAGGCTATGTTTGACACGCATCAGATTCGATCTTCTAGCTTTTGTACTATTTAAAAAGTTTTTAAAAGCTTTGCTTTTAATTGTTTGTTGTTATGACAATCTTTATCATTAATTAATCCCAACAACTTGTATACCAAACATAACTAAATCAAACAGTCAATTTTTTATCAAACAGCTACCACATTTTCCTTTTATGATCTTTTCAGTCACTAAAAGCTAAAAGTTACTAAAAAACTCACAAAAGTATCTTTTAAGCTAATTGTGCCAAACATACGCTTAATTGGCAAAATTTCCTAAAATGATTTTTTACTTTCTATTTTAGGTATATAAAAAAAGTAAAGTGACAAATTTATCCTTTTATTTTTTTTCATTAACTTAAAAGCATATACTTTTAGGAAAATGAGCAAAAGTGTAAAAACAGGCATCATTTATTATCATTCTTTAATCCTTGTGTCAGTCAAAGTTTGCAATTCAATTCGGGACGGAGAGAGTAATACTGCTCTTGCCTTTTGTAAAAACATCCTAAGTGTTGAGTTTAATCCAACACGAAATAGTAAATATAGATATAAATGTTGTATGAACACTCTGTTTTTTAGACTGACTTTGGAGTAATGGTTGAACCCTAGCGGCGGCAGCGACGCTGAGATTTAGATCGAACGATCCGGCGGCGTGGATTTTCTGGCATCATTTTTCATCAATAGGTTTTTGAAGCTCATCTCTGCTTTCTCGTATATTGCTCCCAGCTTGTCTCGGTTGGCTCACGGGTCAGTCGCATCCCATCTTGGGTTTGGCCTCTGTCTCCTGAGGTTTCTTTATGTTCTCTCTGGACGCTGTTGTGCTTTGTTTGCTGATCTGTGTTGGTGAAGTTTTCTTTCTCTATTGTTGGCCGTGAATTTGGTTGTTCTTCCAAGATTATGTACTGGTGACCGTGACTTTTGGAGGCTGATTGTGTGAGGAGTTTTTCTCCTTTTGGTTTGGTTTTAGTAGCTTGTTCATGTGCAATAATTCAATGTTTCAAATGGGCATGCTTGAACCAGATCCTGCTTTCATAAAGCGGCCATTGTCTAGGTTTATCCTAGTTTGATTGTCCGGCATGATCGTTGACGGTCAGTAGGCTGGTGGTGTATTTTATTCTTTTTCTAACATGAGTATTGTGAGTTGGAATTGTCGAGGGTTGGGGAATCCGGCGACTAGCCAAGGTCTTTCAGATATTATCAATCAACATCGTCTGTCGATAGTCTTCCTCATGGAGACAAAGCTAAGGTGCCAACGTGCAAAAGAAATACTGCAGGCGAGAGGGTATGTGAACTCGGCTGGAGCGGACTGCGATGGCCGAGGGGGAGGTTTGGCCCTCGGTTGGAATGATGAGGTGCAGGTCAAGGTTATCACTGCAAACTCTAATATAATCGACTGTGAAGTTAAATTTTTAGCCGAGGATAATGCTTGGTGGCTCACGTGCTATTATGCATATCCGGAGACTTGTAGAAGACGAGCAACATGGGAGATGCTACGGAATTTGTCGGATAATTCCTTAATTCCATGGATGGTAATGGGAGATTTCAATGACATCCTGTATGAGTCAGAGAAAAAAGGAAGAATTCCTCACGCTCTGTGGAGGATGCGGGGATTTCGTGAAGCTATACTATCATGTGGTTTACGGGATTTCCTTTTGATGGATATCAGTGGACTTGGGAGCGGGGAAGGGGCACACCATACTGGGTGGAGGAGAAACTGGACCGGACTTTGGTCAATGATAATTGGTGGAGTAAATTTATGGAAGCGCGAGCTTCGTCTATTGAGGCACCGGTAAGTGATCTTATGGCCTTATGGATTAAAATTAAACCTTCCTTACGTGGTAGGTCTCCAAGAAGGTTTAGATTTGAAAATAACTGGCTTAAGGAGGAAGAATGTAGATCTATTGTAATTAATAGCTGGAGTGCGGGTTCGCATAATATGACAGTCAATGAGAGAATTCTTTTTTGTGGAAAAGAATTACTGAGGTGGGACCAGTATCATACGAAAGGGTTTCGGCATCAAATTCTTGCTTACAAGAAAATATTAGCGATTTCTCTTTCAATATAAACAACAAGGTTATCCGCAAGATACTCATCCTCCATTTTATTGCGAAACCCTGTTTTTATAATTTTGATTGTTGAAAAAGCCCTTTCTGTTGTTGCTGTCGATACAGGTAGAGTCAACAAAAGCCCTTCCTCCATTTCAACTGCACAAATTTCTTTTTTGAGAGTCAATGTTTCGGTATCTCTAACATGCACAACAACAAAGAAACGCTCTCTAATGAACCCCTTTTCATCAACAAATCTCAAAATAATAGTCATTTGCTCTCTCTTAGATTCATCACGTGCCTCATCAACAAAAATGCAAAACTTAGAATCACCAATATCATGTTGAATCCTATGGCGCACTTTATTAGCAAGAATGTGTAAGATCTCCTTTTGAATTTTGGGAGAAGTATACATAGCATTTTTTGGAGCGTTATCCAAGACAACACTAGCAACTTGTTCATTATATGATGCTAAAAGTGAAATCATTTCAAGAAAATAACCTCGATTTCTAGAACTAGAGGATTCATCATGACCTCGTAGAGCACATCCTTGTGAAGCCAACCACCGAACAACATCAATAGAGGTCATAACCCGTAAGCGGTTACCTTCCTTCATCTCTAGAGTTTGTGCTTCGATGACTTTGTCAATATGGCGAGATTGATTCAATAAGTCTTGACAACTTTTCCAAGAATTATTGTGTGGAGAACATGGATCTTGGCCCACATGATTCAAGAAAGCACAATTAGCCATGTCATTAACTTTTTTCCAACTATTAAAACCTTTAAGAGTGAAAGCATCAGTTCCATGACGAGTTATAGGTTTTACGAAAAGGTAACATGGAAAGCAATATGCTGCATCTTGTGTGGGGGAATACTCCAACCAATGAAACTTTTGAAACCAAGAAAACTGAAATTTTCGAGGACGCTTCTCATCAGATAGGGGATACTTTGCCAAATGTATTTGATATGGCCCCATCTCCAAATATGCTCGAATAACTTCATCTCTTTGATTAACATGATATTCCCATATCTGAGGGCATTTTCCGGGATCACATTCTAGATTCTTGATATCAAATGAAAGACTAGAACAACCCAAATATTTGGAAGTATTAGTAACTTCCACATTTGCAGTTTCTGCATCGACCGGATTACTTGAACTACAACTCGAATCCACAATTTTTCTCTTAAAATGAGAGTAAATTCTTGTCTGCTTCTTCATCTTAATTTCAGTCATTCATTATATCCTTCACAAAGAAATTAGAAAAACTACTTCAAAATACTGAAAGATAAAAGAAATACACAAAGACATAACCATCTAAAATTGATAAAATTGATTAATTAAGGACTAACAATCTAACTCTAACACTCTAAAAGGCTAAAAATTATAACACAATTTAACATAATCATCACAAAATAAGAGAGAAAAAGTCTAAAAAGTAAAAATGCTCTCACTGACGTGCGCACCACAAAACAATTACGGGATTGACACGGAATTTGGCACGAATTTACTGATTTTTCATGCCAAATAGCTCGTGCCAAAGTGTTTTTGGCACAGATTTGGCATATCCCTACCTAACTCCCTGTCAATTCCTTGCCAAAATCCCTGCCAATCTCATGTTTTTATTCTAGTGGCGGCTGCGCCATAGCTGGAGCCTAGAGGCAGAGCCTGAGAGAAGCACGGCGTGGACAGTGGACGGCGGAAGCACGGTGTGGACGGCGGAACAAGGCTTGGTTGGTGGCTTCGTGAGTTAGCGTTCTCCGTTCTCGGCTTCTTTTGTTATTCGGCAAATCGGCGGAAGAACTAACCCCCGATGTGCGCAGGCTTGATTATGGCCTATGGGATAGGCCGTGGGCTGGGCTCTTTTGTGGTGGGTTGGGATTCCTGGGAATAAATAATGGGGTGAACTGATATAATATTGTTTCCATATTTTCTATTTTTTAGGCTTTTAAACAATTGGGTTTGTACGAGTGGCTGTGTTTTGGGGGCGAAAATATTTTTTGGGGGGTTTCAAATTTTTTTAGAGGGGCGTAAATTATTTGTTAAGGAGGGTAAAAAAAATTCGTATATATATACACTAAAAAAAATTGTTGGTGGGGCAGTAGACCCCTGAATCTGTACTACGGTCCGCCCCTGATAACTAACCATGCAAGATTACATTATTCTGTCCTATCACATAATGAAAATCTTACCAGTGTTTCTGATTATTTCAAATTCCAGTATAACACATCAATTTAAACAGCACCAATCCTTCAAAATTACTCACGTGTATATATAAAAAAAATCAATAACGATAGTAATACACAGTGAAATTAAAACCGACAAGAAGATCGACATCAATGGATACCTCTACATAGAATTTATGGGCATGAGGAACTTCATGCAGTAATTAATACTAGTAGCCGGTGCTTAGCGACGGAGGGAGTATATATGGATTGGTTCCTGTGAGAAAGAAGTCTGAAGAGAGAAATAAGATTAAAATTTAACCTTTGAGTATAAGAATCGAATGGTTATTATTTAATCGTAGTTATCTCTTTCCTCCACTATTGATACCTAGTGTGCATGTTGAAAAAGGAAAGAGGGTAACATTATAATTAATTAAGGGTACAAAGGTAAACTTCGAAGGTTAACATGGGAACATAAACCACCAAATTGGGAAGCCTTTATAAAAATTAGGTAGACTAATAATTACTCATTAATATGATCATTTTCTATTAAATGCTTATGAATTTCCTTTGTGATTTAGCATTTTATAGCACAAAACTTGAATAAAAAAATTAAAACAATTTTTATCTAAATTTGTGCATTAACTTTGAAGTATATAATCTTGTGTGCATGATGAGCACCATGCACCCTTTGTTATTTTTTATTTCTCTTTTTCTTAAAATTGTTAATAATTTTTTTATTTTTGATTCGATTTTTATAAAATTTATATCAATTTTTTTTATTTTTCATGATCTTTCAAATGAGACCAATATTGCCTATGTAATTTTAATTTTTTACATTCATACATTTTTTGTAATATATTTTTATATGCATACACTTTTCTATAATATTTTTTTATCACTTTTATATGTTTTAGAGGTTTTTAAGATATTGAGTTTGTTTATTTTGCTTCTAGCTTGGAGTTACATTTGATAATATACGAAGTTACATCATCTTATACTCCAATTACAAGTTATTATGTGTGAGTTACATCTTGTTATGTGTGAGTTACATCTTGCTATACACGAGTTACATACTTTTATGCGAGAGTTACATGTAATTATGTGTGAGTTACATCTTGTTATACACGAGTTACATACTTTTATGCGCGAGTTACATGTAATTATGTGTGAGTTATATCTAATTATTTGTGATTTTTTACTTATCTTTATCTTCAACTAATTCAATTATAACTGAATTAATTTTTTTATTTGCCAATTTAATACAAAATTTTATTAATCCACATAAAATAAGTATATTGTATTTCATATTCATACACTATTTTTCAAATGATAAAAATGAAAGATGTAGTAGGGGTTTATTTCATGGTGTAACTCACATACATTAAGATGTAACTCGCGTATATTAAGATGTAACTCGCGTACAATAAGATGTAACTCGCGTAGAGGAAGATGTAACTTCATGATATATTATCAAATGTAACTTCAAAATAATTTGTTAAAATTACATAAGCAATATTGGTCTCATTTGATAGATCATGAAAAATAAAAATAAAATTGATATAAAATTTATAAAAATCGGATATCAAATAAAAAAGTTATTACAATTTTTAACAATAAAAGAAATAAAAAATAAAGGATGCTACGTCATTTTGGGATCGGGCGCACCATCCTCATGGTGCGCCGATCCCAGGATATAAATTGCGCTAGTAGCATAAAAAGATGGCACGGTCAGTGACGGTTCCTTTCTTCATATGAGCAACCGCAAGACGAATGACCGAATTAAAAAACTTTGTTCCAACTTTGACAGATTTATCTAAATATAGCACTACGACATACTGACATACAGTAGTTTTTTGTTTCAAAACTAGGACCAACTATTTAAAAATATCTTAAATATGACTTTTTATTTGAGTCAGTTCTTCGGACCGCTACCTGCTGCAGGATCACGTACCGCCGGATTATTTTCCAGAATTTTTACGACGACCTGCCAGAATTCCATTGCCTCCACCAGAGTTTGATGTCGCTGCCACGCATTGATGATCCGTTACCGAGGGACTGGTCTTGGTTATGTAGTCATGTAGATTGCATAATTGTTTTTTAATAATGCCATTAAAATTACTACCAATGCCATTAAAATTGTAGCCCTTTAATCCATCCTCCTTAATTCTGAGTCCAACATCAGTGGCGTAGTTGCAACTGGAATCTATGCAGACATGGACGAAGATGGGACAATGTTTTCGCAGCTCAAACAAGAAGCTCCTCCTATCAACAACCCATAATATTGAGGTGATAATCTAATTCGACTTTTCACTGTGCATTTTAGGGTTATATTTATTTAAAATTTATGATTTTGTTTTTGTATATTATGTTTTGTATAAGCCTTTATAGTTGAGCATTTTGTATTGTTGTTAGAGAATGTAGTATTAGTTATTAAAGTTTCAGTTCAATTACTCTATTTCACATTTATGCTCATAACATGTTTGTTGGAATGACTCAATGATTTTTTTTTGTTGAAATTCAAGACTTAACATATTACTGTCCTTGTTTGTTAATTAGTTCAAGAATCTAATTTTCTTTTTTCTCGATTTAAATAATGATATATTATTTTTATTGACTATTTTATTTGATTAGTATGCTTTTGTTATTTTAAGTAATGACCTTATTCTTTTTCACTAATGTGAATTTAGTGTTTACATTTTTATGTGAATTGTATTGATTATTTGAATTGTCCTTTATTTTTAATGTACATTTTATGCCTAATTTATGTTTGTGAAGTTGTTTGTTAACTATTTGCTTTCATATTTTTAACCTGTGTGGTTGACTAATGTGGTTATGATGTAAACAGTCAATTACATTTTCTTATCCAAATAGTGTTTGTTAAAAGGTTTCATTGAACCCTTATTGAATATTAGTAGCATGAATAGCCTCCAATTATATATTGTTATTCTATTTCTTATCGTGAAGTGTATAAGATGATCTAGACTATAATTATACCTTTGGTATATATGATAGATTTTGGTGTTGATTGGAGTCTCCAATTATCATTGTTTTGTCTAAAAATGATTAATCTTGACTATTTATTTCATTGGTATATATTTTTTATGTTAGTAAATCAGTTTTTAGTAAAACTAGTCACTTTATGTTTATGCCCAAAAGATGTTTGTTAAAACGCGTTTAAAACGCAAAAAGTTAACTAGGTTTACCTATAATATATTGTAAGTTTGATTTGTTTGACTAGTTTGTTTTTACAGTTTCGTTTCTTTGACTTATTTGTTTATATAATTTTGTGATGTTATATGTGATACATATGTGTAGTTTGATACAATGCTTCCAACAAAATTAGTCTATGTCACAAATGTAAGGTTATGTTAACTTATCATTACTTTTCATGCTTTGTTTCACTTCTTGAATCCTTGACTACATTATTTATTCTATTTCAGGAATGGTAATTCATCGATGCAAAACAAGTTTGATAAGAGCTTCATGAAGAAATTTCTTCATCATATCACAGGCATATCATTGGCAACTTGTTGCATATCATGCTTCTGATATGAAATTTATTCAGCACATCACAAGCAAATTATGGCATACAATGGAGTCAAAAATCAAGAATGAGAAATTTAAAGTAAAGGGTAGCTGAATGTTCCTGTAAAATTAAAGTTAATGTCATTGTATCAAAAATGATAGTGTAATTAGAGTTGTT